CCCGCGCTACCTGCCACCGCTGCCCGAGCTGCCCGCGTCACCCGAGCGCCCCGCGGGGCCCGACGAGCCGCCAGCGGAGGTGGCCCCGCGGCGCAGCGGCGCGGAGGAGCTGCCGCCTGCAGGGCAGGAGGTGGCCGCGGCTGGCGACTTCGGGGCAGGTCCAAGGCGCCTTCCGGAGACGACGGTCCCGGAGGCGGCGGCGGGGAAGGAGGGCCCCGGGGAGCCGGAGGTCCGCGCGGGTGGGGAGAGCGAGCGGCGGGGCTCCGGCGACCGGCCCGAGACGCGCTCAGTATGCAGCAGCCGCAGCAGCAGCAGCGGCGGCGGCGGCGACCGGCGCTCCGGGCACCAGCACCAGCACCACCAGCCCATCTGCAAGATCTGCTTCCAGGGCGCCGAGCAGGTAAGGCCCGGCGGGCCCCGGGCGCAGCTGGCTGTGGGGTCCGGCAGGGCTGGGCTGGCTCCCGCTCTCGACGGCGCCCGGTCAGCACCACGGACAGCGCCCGCCTCTGGGTTCCTGGGCTGAGCGGTTGCCTGGCGGCTCCTGCGCGTTCCCTTTTCCTTTCCTGTGAAGGCAGATAGAATTGTCCCGGTGGCGAATAGTGTTTGCTTTGGGCTACACTTGATTTTTTCCACCTGGTTTTGCAGTTACACATTCCTCAGGTGTTTTAGTGTTAATGCCATAAGTATTTCTTGTGTGAATTCCTTGATGGATCAGGTTTATACATAGAGACAAACCTGTATTCCTTTTTTACAGGTGTATCGTGAGGCAGATAGTCTTAGAGGACAAACAGGGGGTGAGTCATGTCAAAACCAAAAAGGGCAGGGTCTTTCCTTATTGCCCATTTTGGTGACTCTATATCACTGAGGTGAAAAGCATGTTAGAGTTTTCATAAGAGAACTAAAACTACTTTGACCTTGTGAAAGACAGAAACACAATTCTAAAATTATAAACTCCATTAGAGGTGCATGCAAACTTACATGTGAGTAATCACAGAGACAACAGAGATAATACATCTCTCTTACAAGTGTGGTCTGAGTAAACATTAGGTTTAATATTTTTCAAAGTAAGGAAATTGCATAAGAATATGCAGGCTTTCAGAAATATAGTCCCCTAAGTCAATATTTATGATGCTACAGTTAGAAAAAATAAAAGCATAATGCTAGTGCAAGCTACTTTCTGGGATGGCATGCATTTCTTCTTTAGCAATGATTAAGAATAACTGCAGAGGAATTGCATCTGACCGTCCACTTAAAAGTTATTAAAGAGATTTAATAGTACAGCTTTTCCCCTAGGGTATTGGGAACTGTATCCTGCAGACATTTCGTATGTTGGTAGAACATTTATGTCATAACTGTAAGTAATACCTTTGAAATAGTTTTAAGACTTTAGTTGCATTCCCACCAGAGGTATGAACATTTAATTTCATTTTCTAGGATAGAGTTTGATGCTTGTATCCTTCTGGGTAAATGGCTTTGAAATAAAAGAAAGCAACTGTTGGATTTTTAAAATAGAGACACAACATAAATATTCATACTGAATTGTTTTCTTTCCAGGGGGAGCTGTTAAACCCCTGCCGATGTGATGGGTCCGTTCGGTATACACATCAGCTGTGCTTGCTGAAGTGGATCAGTGAGAGGGGTTCCTGGACCTGTGAACTCTGCTGTTACAGATACCATGTCATAGCCATTAAAATGAAGCAACCTTGCCAGGTAGACATTTGTGACATTTTTTTCCCCCTGAAATAATTTTGCTAGACATGAGAATATTTGCATATGCTACACTAAAACCAAGATTTAGAATTTGTAGAGATGTGCTTTGAGAAATCTGTGACATTTTTATCTGAGAAACTCAAAAGCCATTTTTATTCAAATGGTCTCCTTTATTTGTTGTTTATTGATGAAATTATACACATCCTTGTTTCTAAAAGGACAAGTTGGTACAAATGTCTTACACTCAGTTAACTCAATTTTATTCATTAGAAACGTTACACAAATTATTTTGTTAATTTAAGCATTGAAACTCTAAATGGGCTCCATTTACAGAAAACAGATGCACGTAAAGCAAAACTTTACTAGTCTGGAAACTTTGGTTGAACCTATTAGTTCTAATCTGAACAGTCTTTTTACTTAACCAAGCTTTCTTTTTCATATGAGTTTTTTTCACAGTTACATTTTGCCTACTTTCATTCATTGCTCTGTTCAGCTACATAGTGATTGCAGAAGTATTCCCAACAGTTACTCTCAATAATACTACTGAAACTGTATATATTCTTAAAACTTTTAGTGCATAATCACATAGTAACATAATGCCCATAACCTGACAAAAGCCCATGGAAAAATAGGCTTTTGGTTTTTTTTGGTATAGTGGAACGGATTCAGGTTCTTGGAATAGACTGGTGGGATGTAAAATAATATTAAGAATGACATCTCAGATTAAAGCAGAATAGTGTGTAATTGATGAGATCTGACAATGACATGGGACTGAGTTTCAGCAGACATAAAAGAGTAGGTTCAAAACACAGAGACGCAGGAGGTAATGGAAGGAAAAGGAAGAGGGACTTAGAGTTAGGAGGGAAACAAAGTGCTAAGATCTAGTGTTCTCTATTTCTATTTAAATTACCAAATTTAGTTTGCATTGAGCAATAAAACAGGTGAAATTGTTAGTGATTGCAGAAGGAATCTGGATGCTGAATTAATAATTTAAATTTCATAGTTTTTAATTTGTGCATCCTTCATATAGTTGCAATTAATTTGCATCTCTGATAGTCACCATTTAAGGCATGACTAGCAGGTATGAAATGAAAGTGTGAATTTTCTCAATCTGATCTCAGGCTTATAAACAATTTGGAAAGAAGATGAATAGCTAATGTGGGTGAATGATGTTATCATGGTGAAGATAGGCACAAACCTGACATATTTTCTCAGAACTGCTAATTGATTGAACTACTTGGTATCAATTTATTGATCCATTATAGTTCTCTTGAAAAACAGAGGGAGCCGTGTCCAAATACCAGAATATGAGTAGTATAATTGAATCTGCAATAATTCTATGAATAGAGTATGTGGAGATGAGAAATGGAGAGCTTTGAGGCTCCAGTGAAAAGTCCCATGAGAAGTGCTATGGTCAGACATTCAAGAGCTGAAATAGATTGCTAAATATTTCAAAAACTTTAACTTATGGCCACAATATATTAATTCACTTGGGCAGGTTACTTCTGAAGTAAATATAAATAGGTCCTTGATATAATTTTAAAATAGAGAAGAGACAAAGGGTTGGGGCAAAAAATACTATTTACTAATTCTAATCCTATAGCAAAATGAGTTATTACTGTATTTTGCTTCATTTAAAAAAATCAATAACCATTTTAACAAAAACAGTTCCCGAAGTGTGTATATGATATGACCAAAGAATCAAAAGAAAACAAAAAACAACCAAAAGCCAAAAACTAACCTGGTATTACTAATACATTTAGGATTAATTTTATTATGACATATGCAAAAACTGCCATAATCGGTAGCCTGATCTGTTGCAGTGAACTGCAAAATAATATTTAGAAACAAAATTGATATGAGTATGATGATGATAGTTCAGATCATGTCTGAGAACATAACTTACCAGGACTATATTATATGTTTGTAAAGCTCAGGACACTTAATGAACAGAAATCAGTTATAAAATCCAAAGTGTGGATTATTATACCTAGGAGTAGTTTATTCTCAGATAAAATGTGACTGATTGTCTGACATTTCTCTTACTGATGACCCAGAAACTGAGCATTTACTCTGATTTTTGGGTTTCTCCCTTGCTGGTGTGAGGCTAATCAGATTTAGCATTTATCATATTCATGCTTTTATGGCATGGCAGAGATCTGTTTCCTCATGGCACAGGATCAAACAGGAACCATGTTATGACCCTCCCCTTCACTTTCCATATCCCTTTGTTCTAAGTATAGAGCCCTCCCAGAGCTGTGAGTGGGTGGTTCCTTGGATGTTCAAGAGAATAATAAACATTTACCGAACACTTACTTTGTGCCAGGCACTGTTCTCAGTGCTTTACACATAGTGATACTGATATTTAGTCTTCAAAATAACCTATGAGGTAGAGAATATTATTATCTCTATTTTATATGAAGGCAAACTGAGGCACAGAATAGTTAAATAACCTCTACTAGGTGCATATCTAGTAAAAGGCAAAGCCAGGATTCAAACAGTCTGGCTCCGAGGTTCATGGTCTTAGCCACTGTGCCCCTGTTGGAAAGTGTTCTTTTCAACTTCCTTGTAGCCATCCTGATGTGTCTGGGTCCACCACGACTTATTCTGTGTTATGCTAAGTCAAGCAGGAACTGGTTTCAGCCTGAGTCTCTATGAGGGTCTAGAAAGGCTTTGACTATCTATTGCTGTATAGTCAGACTACCTCATATACTTAGTGGTTTAAACAACAACCATCATTTATTATCTCTTAAGAGTCTGGGTTGACTGAGATCAATTGGGAGGTTGCTGTCCACATGTGGCATCATTCTGGGGCTGTGATCACTAGAGTTTTGACTGGATGGGAACATGCAAGGTGGCTCACTCATTTGACTTGCTGGCTGTTGGTTGGAAGCTCAGTTGGGGCTGTCAACTGGTTACTCACTTCTCTTTCCATGTGATTTGGATGGCTCACAACGTGATGATTGGGTTCCAGGAGCATAAAAGAGGAAGTTGCAGATCTCTTAAGGCCCAGCCTTGGAAGTGACATGGCTTTATGTCTGCTGCACTCCCTTGATTGAAGCAAGTCACAGGATCAACCAGATTAAAGAGAAGGAAAAATAGACTCCACCTCTGGAGGCTGCCCTTCTTTAAAGGGAGTGGACATCTTTAATCCACAATAGGAGATAGCTCCAAAAATGGCACTATCTACCTACTCTGGTCTTCACATTTGGTCCTCATCAGGTCCAGGTCAGTCAATAGGCATCACCATAACTTTCCTCCCAAGGCTCAGAAATCAAGAAGGTTAAAAAATGTATGGGAGTTTGACTTCTTCAGTGGTGCTTGATGCATATACTAAACCACTTTCAGAAGTGATTATTGCCATCATGTACCTCTGGGTGCTCAGAGGGACATGGGGACAGAGAGGGAGAGGAAGAGCTAACCAGGAAGCAGGTGTGTGTGAGGAAAACATGTTGCACTGTGTCTAAAACCTTAGTTTTAGACACAGGATTCCAATCTCAATGAGAATTTGGGTCTAAATCTCCCCGTTTCGTGAGACTTTAGTGATGATTAATCTGCTTAATCATGTTTAATGCTTAAACACGACCCAGTAGAAAGCTGATGTTTCCTCTCCAATATATTTAAGCCTTAATTACTGTATCATTAGCAGTAGGAGTTAATTAAGACATTAGAAATAATGAACATGCATTTAGGTTCCTACCTCCTTGCAGAATCTCTTTTATTGATTACCATATTCAAGATGATGCATTAATGACATTTTAAGAGTAAAAGCTAATTCTGTTTTGAATCTCACAGTATGGTATAAAATAAGTGCAATCTAAGAACCTATAAGATCAAATTTATTTTGAGATGGTGATATTTTAAACTAATTAAGCGAGTATATTTAGGTTTATGAATGCTTTCAGTACTTTTTCGAGAAATAGAGATGTTTGAAGAGATAACATTTACTAGATGAAGTGTTGTGTGGGAGACTTTAAACTTTTTGTAAGAGATGGACTATAATGCCTAAACATAGGAAAATAGAGCATTAATGGAAGGCAATAGCTGTGTTACCGTGGACGAGTTACTTAACTATTTGTGCCTCAGTTAACTCATCTTTAAAAGATAATAATGGCACCTGTTTTATACATATTTTGAGGATGAAATACATATATACCTATAGAGTGCTTAGAATAGTGCTAACAATAGTAGGTGCCATTTTAATGTTGGCTCTAATGATTTTTACTTGTTCAATCAGCTAGCAGATGGGGACCTTCATTTGCTCACAGCAGCAGTGCTCACAGGTCCCTGTTATCTCCTTCAATTTATTGTCATGAAGTTAATGACTCTTCTTTCCATATCATTCTTTATCTCTGGATATTTACTCCCTGCTTTTTCTAGGCGAGCCCACCTTGGTTTCTGACCAAATTTGTTATTGTAAATAAAGAAGGAATCAGCATTTAAAAAATCAGATGTAGGGCTTCCCTGGTGGCACAGTGGTTGAGAGTCCGCCTGCCGATGCAGGGGACAAGGGTTCGTGCCCCGGTCTGGGAAGATCCCACATGCCGCGGAGCGGCTAGGCCCGTGAGCCATGGCCGCTGGGCCTGCGCGTCTGGAGCCTGTGCTCCGCAACGGGAGAGGCCACAACAGTGAGAGACCCGCGTACCGCAAAAAAAAAAAAAAAAGAAAAAAAGAAGAAAAAAAAGTCAGATGTAGTGGGCTATAATGATCTCAGCACATGGGAGCATATTTACTCTCCATTCGTCCCTCCCCATGGGTCTTCATTGGAGTCAGCTCATAAGCGGAGTTATGAGATGCTTTTGCGTGTGGCCAAGCACAAGGCAGCGCTCTTTGGCATCACTGGGTACCGGTGTGTGTTTATGCTTTGGAAAGGCCCCTGGTGGTTGGGGTGTATGTGAGTAAAGCAGGAGGTTGAAGAACCCCCAGAGATCCTGGGCAAGGGGCCATCGCAAAGGGCACAGGTAGGTAGTCCAGCATCAGTCACAGCGAATCGTGGTGTC